CCCCAAAACCCCAAAACCCCAAAACCCCAAAACCCCATGCTGCATATTTAGCTCTTTATTTATAATATGTTAGATTTAAATGAAAATAATAAATGATACTCATTTGGATTTTGTCCGAAATCATTCAATTTGCATATTAAAATTAATCCATGATCTTATCTCTGGGCCGCTCTAATCTTTCGTTTTGTAAATCAAGCTTGTTATTGTGAGTTTTTTTCCAGATTCAATTTTTTATGTCATTGAAAATAGGTTGCCTCCTTGTTTGTAAGTGCAATCAAGACGATCTACAATATCCAGAGTAACGCAATTTATAAAGCCTACACTTCTTGAGTCTTTGTAGATCAGGTAGGGATTATTATCTGAAAAATTTTAAATTTTTTGCAAGCAATTATAGTTAATTGACTAACTTGGGTTTGGGATATCTTTTGACGGATCAAGTCTCTTAGCTCTTCTATCATAGTATTTAAAGCAAGGCTCAGTGACGCAAACCAAAAATTAATCAGGAAAGATCTCCTAGAAGCAAAATACTGGTTGTGGCTTTCCATCTTTTAAAAATTATTGCTCACTATTAGCAACTTCTTCATATTCAAATTGGAATTGAGACTCAGTTACTTACTTTAGTTCCAATTTAATTGCGGCAAGCATACCGTTTGTAAAGTTATTCTTTGATTTTTTTGAAAAAGCTAGCATGTATTCATGGGGATTTTAAATTTTTTGAGCATCTTAAATTCTCATCTTGCTAGAATGTTGAATCGTTTAAATCAACTTAAAATCCAGCATTGAAATAATTTCAATATAACCATCATTGCAAAAAACAAGTAAGAATATTCCAACTTGATTTAAATGCTGAGGAACAAACTTGTTTGGTAGGGTATGAAGCTATATAGTGGTAACTAAGTCGTAGTAATTGCTGTTAAAAATCTTTAATTCATTATTTGAAAGTCCACAAATCAAATAATTTAATACTTTGCAGACTGACACAATGCCGGCACCTAGTTCAAGTTTTTTTTTCTGTTAATAATCTTTTGAATTATGAATATTTGACCAATTTTGGTTTAAACCAACAATAAGATTTCCATCTGTATTGTGTAGTATGCATGTTTAAGCTGCATTTTTTTAAACTGGGATTTATATTTATTATATTTCTTTTTCTTCTTCTTTATCATTTTCATTTTCATTTCCTTTTGTATTAAGATCTACTTCTTCGGTAACACCACGACTATTCCTAGTGGTTTCATCTTCTATTTGAAGATTAAGATTTAGATTTTATTCATCGTTATTGCCCTCTGGATTACAATTAATTTTGCAAGGACTTACAGCTGATTAAGATTCTAACTCATTCGATTCTTTCTTAGAATATATTGAATTAAAGGAGTTTTGATCTATGTCACAACTTTAAGATGTTTTAAGAAAGTCCAGCAACTCTTTGAAATTTAATTTGGATGAAGCATTCTCATTCTATTACTCAAGTAGCACTTAAAAGAGATTCGAAATTCTTTCAACTTTGAAATCATTCAATATTGGCTCTTATTTAACCTCAATTTTTACTTCTTCTTCTTCAATTCCTTAATTATCTTCTAGAGAAGACTTTTTCTATCTTTAAAGTAAGTCTTTAGTTATTTAATAATTCATATCTACCTTTTAACTTTGCTATTAAAGCAATTGTTTTATATGTTCTATTTCTTGCATCAAGGATTGATTTTAATAATTAAGCTACCCGGCATAATTTGTTTGTTCAACCGTTTTATTATCGTGATACTTTAGATTTTCAATTTTGTTGCCCAGTACGTTAAAGGCCTCAATATTTTCCTTGTTTTATTCTAACTTTATTTTTCTGAGCTCATATTGAAACCTCTCACTCAATGCTTTTAAGTTTTCTTGATTAATGATTGCAAGTCTTCTAGATTCATCGTGGTCGGAAATCTGATATCCAATGTCTAGTTTGAATTGCTCGATTATATCTATGAGAGATTGATCTGTTATCAAATTTGCCATATCATTGACAATGCATCTCATCTAATTCAGCACCTCTTATTGAGGGTCTTAAAATTTTGCCCAATTAATATTTGTTCTAGCAGCATCGATTCTCTTGTTAATACGTTCTTAAAATTCAGATAAAATGTCGAAGCCATTTATCTGCTACTTTGGTATTCTGAAGGTTCCTCTTTCCATAATAATCAAAAAGATATGCTTTTATATGTATTATTTATATATCAAGCAACTTAAATAAATCAATATTTCTTTATTAGAATATCTACTTCGAACTTTTAAGAAATCTCAAATATGGGGTTTTGGGGTTTTGGGGTTTTGGGG